AGGAGGGTGTGGGGAGAAATGACAAGAAGATATTGGAACATAAATTTGGAAGAGATGATTGAGGTAGGAGTTCATTTTTTATTGTACTAGGAAATGGAATCCTAAAATGGCGCCTTATATCTCAACAAAGTGTAAGGGTATTTATATTACAAATCTTACTAGAACTGCTCATTTTTAATGAGGGAAATATTTCTATAAGTGCTAGTATAATTTTTCGTTTGCAATATATACTGCAGGGTAACTGCAATGCAAATGACATATCTTATCGGATTAAAGAATTCCACAGCAACTATTACAACGGCACTTGCTAACTTAGTCCCAGCAATTACATTCCTTCTTGCCGTCCTTTCCGGGTAAATCTACACCATCAGATCACTTAAAAATAAGTATAAATAATACGCCATAATTAACATGTCAAATTACATTTTGACAGTATATCTATAATACTTAACTCCGTTTTTTAATTATACTCTTTTGAGTAAATATGAATATTTTTTAAAGAAAAATGTCTAATTTAGAAGGTTTTAATTTATTATTAGGCTTGAAAAAGTAGGGCTGAGAACTAAAGCAGGACAAGCCAAAGTGTTGGGAACAATACTATGCATTTGTGGAGCTATGTTGCTATCATTATATCATGGGAAAGTGGTGATTGGCCAATTAAGAATTCACTGGAAATATTCAGAACAAACAAGCAAAAATATTGAAGCTAATACCCATGGCAACTTCTTCCTGGGACCTTTTCTAGTCATAATCAGCACTATCGTTTACTCTTTATGGTTAATCATACAAGTACGTAATATATATTTTTGGCATTTCAATCTTTCTCCTATAATAAAGTTTTGTTTTCTTCTTAATTTTTTTTGTTGTTGATGTACTTAAGCCGAGAGTGAATGAGAGGTATGCAGCTCCATACTCAAGCACAACTTTGATGTGTTTCATGGCTAGCTTGGAGTGTGTAATTGTTGCAGTTTGTGTTAATCGTGACAAAACTGCTTGGTCCTTGAACCCCATTAGAGCTATTTCAGTTCTATATAACGTAAGTACATATCGTGTTTATATTTTTTACTTTTCATATTCTTGTTTTTTTGAAGAATTGAAAAAATAAAAGATTTCATAAAGTTGAATGTCTAGCGTGGATAAATAATAATGAGTGAAATTTTTCCTGAGTCGCATAATATTATTACTTACACATCTTTTATTTTCTGTTTATCTTAGGGAATTATAAGCTCGGCACTAGCATTCTATTTGATGACATGGTGCATAAAAAGAAAAGGACCTCTATATGTCTCTGTATTCCTCCCTTTGCTATTAGTCATTTCTGCCTTTCTCAGTTGGACATTGCTTGGTGAGAAGTTATACTTTGGAACGTAAGTCGAAATTCAAACAAAAAGATTTTAAAAAATTGCCAGTTATTTATTTAATGGTACGATTATATAAATGAAATCTTAGAATTGACTAGTCTTATTTTTTTTTTCCACATTATGTGCACTTTGACCAGAATTGTGGGGTCAATCTTGGCTGTTATCGGACTCTATGGTTTTTTGTGGGGGAAGAAAAAAGAGATTTGTCATGTTAAGGAGGAGAAGGTATTAAAAGAGAAGAACCAGTTGACCAAGATTGGCTTGGAATTGCAATTCTCAGAAAAGACAAATGTCAATCCAAACCAGAGCTTCACAAATGCCCAAAGCAAGATATGATTTAGTGTTAATGATCAAAATTCATTATTGTTTGCCAGTCGATCATACTCAATGACCATTACCTTGTCATTTGATGTAGCAGAGTGCATTGCAGAGTAGAACATTAAAGTCAATGCATGTATGTGTTTACCAATCCCTTCGAGAATAGAACATTAAATCAATGCAATGTATTTTTGCTGTTCCTTTCAGTGTTAATACTTTGGGCCACGATTTATGTATTGATTTGTGGATAATTAAGGGGTATTATCACTTTTAGCCCGCGTCAGAAACTTGTATATAACCGAAAAAGTATATAAAATTTGTATAATTTTTGTATATAACATACATAATTTATATAAAAAAAAATATATACAAATTTTATACTTTTTTTCGGCTATTATTTTTACAGTGGCTATACAATGTCATTTTTCCGATAATTAACTCCTATAAATTTTGGGCCATAAGATCCACTAAGAGATTTTTACATTCCTATGCCACATAGGAAACCTTATTACCCTCAATGTTTAAGGTTTGACTTAATTACACTTAGTATACCAAATTACCAATTCTATACCATAATTAATTAAGGGTATAATTAATTGTACGTTTTTTACTCCTTAATTAAAGGAATCTGTATATTCCAGTATCCCCACTCATCCCACGTTTCTCTCTCCTAACCCCTCAGCCCCACCCACGTTTTACCCACACCCACGTTCTTTTTACCATTTTCCATCTTCTGAAACCAAATTCTCCCTCTAAATTCATAGAAAATTGAAGAAACCCTTCAACAAAGTTGGTTCCCCATTTTACTCCAGTTGAAGTTCATCAATGAAGAACAACAAAGCTTCGAAACACAGTCCTAAAAAATCAGCAGTAGCTGATATACCCTCATTTGATTTGGGTGTGTTATCACCAAAATCACCCAAAAAGCATGGCAAATCTCCACATGCAATTGCAGAGACTACTCATAGTTCCTCTCCCCGACAAATCAGAGCCGAGATGAGAACCAAACAAAAACATGATGTAGATGCTGGAGAAACTTCTACACCAAACAAGTCAAACGAAAAGGAAAACTACACATCAGTTTTAGGATGTATAAAGCAATATTTGTTTTCATGATTATCTACAAAATTACTACATTTATACTACAATTAAACTACAATCTATGTTGAAAAAATGTTGACTACAGAATTTTTCTCTTCATCTACAAATTTTCTACAAAAATTCTACAAATATACTACAAATCAGTTTAAGTATGTATAAAGCAGTATTATTTGTAAGGGTATCTACATAATTACTACATTTATACTACAATTAAACTACAATCTATGTTGAAAAAATGTTGACTACAAAATTTTTCTCTTCATCTACAAATTTTCTACAAAAATTCTACAAATATACTACAAATCAGCTTAAGTATGTATAAAGCAGTATTATTTGTAAGGGTATCTACATAATTACTATATTTATACTACAATTAAACTACAATCTATGTGAAAAAAAGTGTTGACTACAAAATTTTCTCTTCATCTACAATTTGTCGTTGCTGAGGTATTGTTCAATATTTTGTCGCTTTTTTGATTTTTTGGATTAACAAAAAAAGACGAAGAACAGAGCTTTTGCAGAACTGATTTCTACAATTTGATTCGAATTTGTTGACGATTTTGTCTTTTTTTTGATTTGTAGCTTAAGGAAAAATATCGAAGAACGGAGTTTTTGCAGAAAAGAGTCTATGTAATTTGATTTTAAATTGAAGATAAAGGATTTCCGTTTCAAATTTGATCTGAAGGTCGCTAAATCAATTAGAATATTCTGTTCCCGATTTGTAGCGCGCCTAATTAGGAAGATTCAGCTACTAATAATTAGTATTTAATGAATGGTATAATAATTGTAAAAAAAATGTGAACATGGCGGGTAAATTAAAAACTATGCACATATTCGGTAATAAAGTTTCATATATGGTATAGGAAGGAAAAAATCTCATCTACTAATATTTATTTATTTGGGCCAAGAGTTTAAGATGTTGGGCCATTTGAGTTTTATTGTTGGGCCATTGAGGAGATAGGATTTCTAAGGGGTTTTGGCATGGTATAACAACATACCCATATAATTGGCAGAAAATAGCCCTAGTTATAGATATTGGCATCAAATAGCCAATAAATGTATATCACAATAATAATATGTATATCACAACTTTTTTTCCTTCTTTGTCTATATCAACATGTATATTAAAATTTTATTTTCATTCTTTGTATATAAATAATATTATTCTTTGTATATCAATAATAAAAAATTATGAATATAGTTATTGCTGCCTTTATATAAATGCATATTACAATAAAAATATTATATTATTTCTATATCATAGTGTGTAGCACATCGGACATGTGTATACCAAAATAAATATCATAAATTTATTTTTCTTATTTGTGTATATCAAAATTAATTTTCTTTGTATACCAAAATATTATTTACTCCCACAATTATATTTATTATTTTTAAATTTTAGAACTTAAACATGCTATATCAAAAAATTTCTTTTTCTTTTTTGATCAATAAGTAATAATTATAATATTTGTATATCATTGTGTATAACATAATAATAATGTGTATAAAAAAAATTATTAAAATTTTATTTTCCTTCTTTGTATAACACATTTCAGATTGAAAACTCAAGTTGAAGACGACTCCACATGTGTATCCCTCATTGTAACCCATGTATATCTCTATGTACATCAGTGATATCTCATGTATATTATGTGTATATATGTATATCCATGAAAATTTGTGTTATATATACGATATACAATGTGATATACACGGGCGTCCATAAATATATTGTGTTGTATACACGATATGCACAGTGATATACATAGACGTCCTTAAAAATGTGTGTGTGATATATACTGATGTACACGATATACAACGTGATATACACATGTCGTAGTTGGATTTTTAGGTCTAGTTTTTTACCTGAAACCAGTCTAAATCACTTCTAATATTGCTCAAATTTTGTATATATCCTTCAATCACACCCACTCATTCAATCCAACCAAAAAAAGGAAGAGAGAAGAAAACAAAGTTAAAATATATTTTTTCTGTCTTACTTATTGCTAATCTTGCCCAAATTTTATATATAGCCTCGTTTAGGTATTTTCAACCAATTTCAATCACATCCACTCATACAATCCAACCAAAAAAAAAAAGAGAGAGAAGAAAAACAAAGTTGAAATATATTTTTTCTCTCTTAGTTTTTGCTTCTGATATTCTCTAATATGAGACCAACCTTACCTTTTCATCCCACTGATTTTTTTTGCATAATTTGCAAGAATTTTCGCTAAACTATGAGAGCAAAAGAGAAGAGATAGTAGAAGAAATACAAGGAGAGAAAGGGGGACGGAAGCCAAAATAAGCGTGTAATTTTTTTTAGAGATAATATAAAAGAGAGTAGCTTTTTTTTGGCTATATAATGCCAATTGTTTGGGGCTATCTTTGCCAAACCTAATATAATGCTAAAAAAATTGCCAATTTCAGTTATGAGTTGTTATAGGATGCCAATTTTCGATCTGTAACCCAATTTTGCATAAGGCTCAAAAATTTTCTTTTTAGTTCCTACATTATGAAAGGAAATTTTATCTCCTATAGCAAACTATTACACCCAATTTATTATAAACCAAAATAATTTTTAAATATTATTACTTATAGTTATCTTTTCTATTTTATAGCAAAATGTGTATTTATTTATACTTATCATTGAGGCATGAAATACGCCAATTATATTCTCTCTCTCTCTCTCTCTCTCTCTCTCTCTCTCTCAGCAAGATTCTCAATCCTCTCTCTTCTTCATCAAATCAGCAGAATCGGGGGCATCATTATCGTGGTCGTTGTCGGAATCGTCGTCGGCGTCATCATCCACTATTGGCTCATCCTATTAGGCGAATAGATCTAGCTATGGCTACGTCGGAGAAGATTTGATTTCCGGATTTTTGTTTGTCTCCATTTTTAGTTTTAATACTACAGTATTTTGCTTGGCCGAAAAATGCCATCTCTGCCGAGTTTTCTTCTCTTCTTTGCTATTTTAGTCACATATAATGATACAAATATATTGTATGATTGTCCAAATATACTCAAATACATTGTATTTTTATATAAATACATTTTTGCCTGTATTTATGAATTTCGAAGGTCTGTATTTTTTGAATATAGCCAAATATCCATTGTGTTTTGTGATTTTTTGTTGTTTGAATACGGTCGAATTGAATACGATGAATTGAATATAATGTATAATAGTGAATAATGAATATCTATGAATTGAATACAATGTATACAACCAAATTGAGTAGAACGATATACACCATATATTTTTTATTAGTTCACTGTATTTATAAATACAGTTGCACAAATACATGAAATATAACACAGTAGCAGCGAAATTTATGTAGAATTGATTTGTTGAGTTAAATTAGGAGTGATACACGCTAATTGATACTCTTTTCGTTATTAAACAACTGGGCTCTCCTATTTTTAGGCGAATTTCGCTACTGTATTCATTGAATACAGTAGCGCGAATACAGGGAATACCGTCGCACATCTGAATTCCCCTATTTCTTAGGCGAATTTCGCTACTGTATTCATGAATATAGTAGCGTGAATACAGTGAATATAGTCGCACAGCTGGACTCCCCTATTTTTAGGCAAATTTCGCTACTATATTCATGAATACAGTAAAGCGAATACAGCGAATATAGTCACGTAGCAACAAAATTTATGTAGAATTAATTTTGTTGAGTTAAATTAGGAGTGATACACGATAATTGATCCTCTTTCCGTTATTAAACAACTGGATTTTCTTATTTTTAGGTGAATTCCGCTACCGTATTCATGAATACAGTAGCGCGGAAACAGCGAATACAGTCTCACAACTGGATTCTCCTATTTTTTTAGGCAAATTCCGCTACTATATTCATGAATTACAGTAACGCGAATACAGTGAATACAGTCGCCTAACAACTAAATAGTAGCTATAAGAAATTAATAGCCATTAAATAATAGTGATTTCTGAAAGTTCCTCTTTATTATATAATTCTTTCTCTCACACACGCACACACTTATAAGCATATGATTTAAGCTGAAAAATGTGTGCAATTGTACCTACAGTAGTATATAGAGTGCTCAAACTAATTAAGAAAGAAAATCATTGATAAAGCACTTCTTCCGTCGATGGTGGAGTTACGTTCCTAAGGAGGGTACATCCATTTCTTAACTTTCTTGGACTA